TATCTCTCTCTCCCTTTCTAACATCAAATGATCTTCATGGTTATACGATAATAACGTTTACTTGGAATTAAGTATATATATATTTAAAACTCGTTTCATTTCACTCTACCTCCCTACCTCCCTCCTTCGACTACGCACTTCATTACCCTACTATACTGTCCCCCACTCTCCCTCAAACTACTACCTAGCCTGTTTCTCTCACTACCCTTCTGCATATATATACTGTATGTACACTACTCTATGTCCCACATACCGGATATATATACTATATAATAGTCATATATAAATCATCATTATACTAAGTTATATCTCTCCCTATTCACTTATATCGTGCTAAATCATATTATACAACACGCAAAACGAGTGTGTGTGCTGTGTGTGGTGGTTTGGTGTGGTGGTGTGTGTGGTGTGTGTGTGTTGTGGTGTGTGTGTGTGTGTGTGTGTGTTTGTGTGTGTATGTGTATGTGGTGTGTGTGTGTGTGTGTGTGTGTGTGTGTGTGTGTGTGTGTGTGTGTGTGTGTGCAAATATATATATGCCTATATATATATATATATATATATATATATATATATTATTTATTTATTTATTCATCATATATGCGTTGTATATGTATACATATGCATATATATAAATAATTATATATATGTATATATATATGTATATATGTATATATATATATATATATATATATATATATATATATATATATATATATATGGACGACAGATCAGCCAACATCCGTCTTAGGTCTTCTCTCGGCCCCCTATCCACCTCAGAAGTGGAGTTCCACAGGGCAGCGTCCTCTCGCCAACCCTCTACACCCTCTACACAGCCTCATTACCACCCCCAGCACCGTGCAGCAACTACACAGCATACACAGACGACATAACACAAATACTCTCACACCCCTCCGAATCCAAAACACATCATGAAAGCAGCCACACAAACAGCCATCAACACAATGAACACATACGAAAACAAATGGAAAATACAAACAAACACAAACAAATTCACTGTCATACCAATGGCTCGATACAACCCAACCCAAATCACAATAAACAACAGAGACATACCCTACGCAAAAAATGGAAACATGTCAGCCCTACACTTCAGCAATCACGGTATTTCCACACACGCACAATATAGAACAAGTCAAGCACGCAGAGTTCTCAAATTCAGACGCTTCTCATACTGCTCAACACAAACAAAATTCGAACTCTATAAACTACTGGAAGACCCATATTCGAATACACGCCCATACATACCGCTGATTGCAATCTCTAAAACACAAAAACACAAGATGCAATCCATGCAGAACAGAGCACTATACTGGATAAACAACACAATACAGGAGAGAATATATCACGGAATCACCGCACAATCACTACACCGAACCTACAACATAGAGCTACTGATCATACGCATACACACACTCGCCAACGAGCCTGGGATCGCATACAACATATAGACAACACTAACAATGATGACATAGCACAAAAACATACACACACGAACCGCTCATGGTTGCCCAGGACACTCCCGCTTGTAAACGGAGATCCCCCTGAATCCCTTTTCGTACGTTGATGTTATGTTTCTGTTGTTAATATGTTTGTTTGTTCGTTTAAATGTAACTATTTACAACGTAACTCAAGTATATCATCACCACATATCACAAGCTTGGCGGGGGAGGAGCCACGCCCACTTCCTGCATGTACTCGGATCGGAGGATGACTTCCATGCCAAAAAAAAATCACAAAAAATCACCTCATAGCACCGAGCATAATGAGCTGCTTACCTGGGCGAGAAAGGGGTCCCCGGGCTACTGCGGGTGTGTGCAAGTCGGGGATGTTTTTTCACGCACAGACAGCAGCCATCATTCCCACACATCGCCACATCATCCCACCACATACCATTCTGTTCCTTATTTTTCTTTTTGGTAACCTGAATTGCGTTACCATAATGTCTTACAACTATTACTTCTCCCCGCTCCACTCTTACTTCACCTCTTATTATTTTAATTATGTTACGTTCATGTTTATTTTACGATAAAAAGAAAAATTACAGAAACCAAACAATAATAATTTATGTTCATGTTTCTATGTTTAAGTTCCATGGTCTACTTTTATTGCTTATGTTTTGTTTATATTTTCTGGAAAAAAGAAGAAAAGTGACCCACTCCTCGGAGCTGGGAAGGGGGCAGGCGAGGGTCTCACCTGTAAAAGGCTATCATAGCGAGACGGTCTCATTATGATAATCCCTAGCAGGCGAAAAAAAGTTCTTTGTTTATGTTCATGTTTCTCTTCTTTGTTTATATTCCATGTTTCTATGTTTCCATTCTACGTTCCAGTACTATGGTTATGTTCATATTCTACGTTTCTATCATGTTTATGTTTCTATTCTGTTCCTCTCTTATGCCTCTGTCCATGTTTATGTTCTATGCCTTTGTTCTGTGTTTCTATCCCATGTTTCTGTCTATGTATATGTTTATGTTCTATACTTCTTCTTTACGGCTTCCATATTTCTCGCCCCTACTTTAGGTCGCATTCCTTAGCGATCGTGGCCAACCACGGGTCGTGGGGAGCGTCTGGTGCTCGTTTGAGGTGCCAATTCTTGAATTACGCTTCATTAATACATGGTTTATCTGGCGGATCTTCTGTCGAATATACTTGTCACTTTATGGGAAGCTTTTTTAAACCTACCTGATTTTGTGATTAACTGTACTACCCGTGCGATTTGACACTGTTTCTCGGCGTCTTGTGGGTATGGGGATGGGGATTGTCCGCTTTCGAATTTCTTTTAATTTACAATAGTAGTTTTAAGTACGAGACATTTCTGAAGGATTGTTTTTAGTAAAGCGGTACCCAAAGACTCTACAGTCGTTGGTGCTGCCCAAACGTCCCAATCAGGTGTTCCACTCGCGATGACCAGAAACAAGTCAGTTTCACCTCAGCCGGCAACACGAGAACAGCTCGCACACATACACTCTCACTGAAGGTAAGAACGTTCCATTTTAAACGCCACATAAAGCCACTTTAGCTTTTGCATGATAACACTGTTAGCATTTTCTCTTCATGCACTGGGAATTCTAGGCTGGGCAGACTAGCCTTTTTTTTCTCTCTCCTACCCCCTTAGTCATGGGGGACCCGTGGGGAATCGGGGGCTGAAGGGTGGGGGACACACAGGGGAGAAATAGTGGAATCAAATGTGGAGATTTGAAAAAAAAAATGGAAAATCCAAACGAGGCTCCAGATTAAAAAAAAAAAAAAAGAAAATTGAGAAACCCGAGCCAAACCACCCAAGAAACAGGTGAAAGAAAATGGGAAAATTAAAAACCCGAGCCAAACTGCTCAATATAAAGGTAAAAGAAAATGGGAAAATGAAACACACAAGCCAGACTTCAAATATAATGAATGAAAAAAAAACAAGCCAAACTTCGGATTTAAAAAACAATAAAAGAAAGTAAACAAAAAGCTGGACAACATTAAGATTAAAATAGTTGAAACAAATGATAAACGTGAAAACTTTCGTTCACCTGCAACTGGAAGATCCGCTGCGCCGATGTATCAGTGATCCAAAATTTTCCTAAAGATCGCCGTACAAAAGAAGCATATTTGTCTAAAGGAAAGTATAAAATTGAAAAACCCGAGCCAAACTTTTCAACAAACAGCTGAAAGAAAATGGGAAAAAGAAAAACCCGAGCCAGATTTCGTATAAAACAGTGAGTGGAAAAAACCTTAGCCAAGCTTTTCAGCAACCAGGTGAAAGAAAATGGGAAAAAGAAAAACCCGAGCCAGCCTTCGTACGAAACAGTGAGTGAAAAAAAATCGAGCCAAAGTTCTCAATATAAAGGTGAAAGAAAATGGGAAAAAGAAAAACCCGAGCCAGACTTCGTAATAAAACAGTGAGTGAAAAAGAACACAAGCCAAACTACGGAATGAAAAACAATAAAAGAATGTAAACAACAACAACAAATATAGATAATTTTAAGATTGAAATAGTTGAGAGAAATGATAAACGTGAAAACTTTCGTTCACCCGTCGCTCTAAGATACGTTGTACCGATGTATCAGTGATCCAGAATTTCCCTAAAGATCGCCGTGCAAACGAAGCATACCTGAGGATATTTCCCTACTTGGAAGCAAGTGTAGCAACCTTAGGGTATTTCTCTACCGTGAGCAAGTGTAGCAACTGCATACGATTACACCTCGCGATAGGTACATGACGTTAACAAGGTTGGAATTCTAAGGATACCTTTCAGGTTCAATGTCGCATTTTCTCAAGTTATACCTCGAATGCATTTTCTATAAAAAGATGCGGGTGCATTTTATGTTGTTGAATTTTACTTTTGAGTAATATCATTTAAATGATATTTTGCTATATAAATCTCTTTCTCTCCCTCTCTCCATCCCTCCCTCCCCCTCCTCTCCATCCCTCCCTCCAACTAGCCAATAGACTTCCCTTAAGAATAAAAAATATTATAAGAAATTTTTATCTTATCAAAGAACCACTAACTAATCTAATATCCATCCTTTAAGATATGGTTCAGTATTATTGGTCATAACCGTTTTCTTTCCCGTGCAATGCTTAGAAGACGGCTTAAATGCTGCTACAGAAAATTGGCATCTTAGGGCCGGATTCTCAAAAGAGCCTTAAGTTAAGCTGGAGGCCTTAATTTAAAGTGTTGATTTCCCGCCCGCCGTAAAGCGCTATAGACTGCTCTCCCCCTGGCTTAACCTAAGGCGCCTTCACTCCCACCAATATGACGCTTTCCTTGCTCTATGTCAGATCGTTAAGGCGCCTTATCGTTGTCATTCATATGATTTTTATCATTATTATTATTATAATTTTCTTACCATCATCATCATGATCATTATCTTCCTTTATTTATTATTATTATTTACATGTTATTATCATTATTTCGTTCTATTATCACCATTAGTGTCATTATTCTTATGATGATGATTATTATTGTTTTTTTATTATTATTACTATTATCATTA